CTGCCATTTCTTGTGTTATAGGCGAGCGACTGCAGGACAAAGGGGTCAGGGTCTGCTTAAAGTAATCAACCATTCGATACTGGTGCGAGGCAGGAGAGGCGGTGCGTGTTTCTGAACAGAAATATGGGTCATGAGAGCTCCAATTATCACGCGCGACAGTGCTAATATCGCTGCATACATTAACAGCCCTGAGCAAGTCTAAAATCAGAGCTGGTGACTCACCTCCTCACACCATATTCCCCGAATCAAATACCGCACTTCAGTTTCCTGCTCAGAAACAACAAGGTTTCCTCACATCTCCCGTTTCGTGCCAAGACCATCTGTGAATCCAGCAAAGCTCATTACAGAGCAGAAGGAGAAGGAAAACATTTACCATTATCAGATCAATATGAAACTTGGTCTCTCTGTGATGTTTAGATTATTCCTACCCAGTCAGAAATATAGCAACGGGCTTCAACATAATACAAACTTAAGACAGTAGCGCAGATATGTGCGAAGGTTCTTGTCAGATGCAAATTTACGCTTGTTCTTGTTACTCCTTATATTTTGTATGAACATTTTGTCTTCTATACACAGTGGGTGTAGAATGTATTAACCCATCTTGGTCCTCGGCCACATTTTGTGTTCCAACCTCAAATCACAACACCTTTGAACAGGATTTTTATTGTTAACAAAACATACTTAATCTTTAGACAGGGCAATAGTCATATTTATTGTAAAATATTATGAAAAACAGAAAAGTGAAAAATCCAGCTTGGATAAACATCAAGTCCGGACTTGACTGGGCCACTCAAGTGTTGCTTTGGCTTTGTGTTAGTTGTCATTGTCCTGTTGAAGTGTGGATCGCTGTGCCAGTTTCATAAATTAAGATTTTTTTTAGTGGTTTTATTTTTAAATAATTTATTTTTGAGCTCCAAATGTTTGAACACGGTGATATTGTAGACACTCTTGTATAGATCAAAATGGGAAAACAATATGTGGGTCAATACTTTCTACACCCACTGTAGCTTCGGAGTTGTTTACTGATCCTGGAGTCTATTAAATGGCTTTTTAAAAGATTCTTCAGTCTGGGACTTTTACAAGCTGATGGTGATTAAAATAAGATGACTCTGTAATCAAATAATGTACTTTTGTATTCTCATTGCACTCCTACGCATTACGTATATAGCCCAGGGGCTTTGTGACAAAAAGAATATTATCCACAGATGCTTACTTGGTTTGCTTTTTCTGTATTGTACTCACAGGGACTACTACAGTTAGACAAAATAATCTACAGTATAGTCATAAAATATTCCTTTCAAGACAGCTGACTGAAATGAGGTCCAAATTTGTTCAAAACAGATTATTATTGTAGAAATTATTATTACTGTACAAATCAACCAAAGGATGCTTCTTTGGCAAAGACAGTACAAATTCTCCAAATCTCATAGGACATACATAAGTCATCGAAACCACCATGACCTCCGTGGCCCATTTCCAGTTTTTGCTAGAAATAGCTTAAATTTGCTCATTTTCAGAGCCATTTCCCTGCTGAATGACAGCTGCACTTTGCATTTGAACCAATTCAGGCCTGCCTTTGAATGCCGGATGCCTTCAGGAGAGAGAAAAGTCAAACTCAGTCCAGCAAACCCATTCACTCCTTCGGCCTGCTGCTGTGGTGTCATTTCCCAGCACTCTCAAAGGGCTTCATCCTGCTGGAGACCAGAGGCCAGCCTGGGCTGGGTACCCACTGTAGTAACA